GGGGAATGTCGGATCTATAGTTTAGATAGTTAAATATATGTATATATATGCTTTGATCTAATAAAGATACCGGCGAGACTGCCGATAATTGGAAAAAAAAAAAATAATAATAATATATGCTTTAAAACCTTCATATTAAATATTCTTAAAAATAGTTTTCTTGAAACTATTGCAAGTGGTGTTGAAGTTTCTGAATTAGATTTGTGTTCTATATACAATGAAGAAATTTTTATATATACTTAAAAAGTCATTTACTATATTAATATATGGTTATACTATATACTGTCTTTGTCTTGAGAATCTTAAAGAAGCTATATTTACATGTTCTATCAATAATTGTAGTACAGAAATCAAAATTATTGAAAAGTTGACACTAATGCAAACTCTATCACAAAAAAGTATAAGCATAGATAAAGGAGCACAAGATTTATTAATATTTGATAAAAATTCATTAGTAAATCTAGATACAATTGTAAAAAAGAACTCACAAAACAAAGAATCTAATATACCTGCCTTCACTATAAGTAATTTACTATCTAAACGTGTTGGTGAAGCTACATCTGCTAAATCATCAAATAAAAAAAAGAAATCTACAAATAGAAAAGATTCTCTTATATTAAAAAAACTTATTCAGGAGCTGTCAACTAATGATCTCAGAAAAACAGTAACTTTGCAATCTAAATCCACTTCTAAAACAAATATTAACTTAGTTAATTTTTTTAATCTATATAATAAAATTATAACTTCTGAAGATATTAATAAAAAAACAACACAAGATCTTCTTCAATATTATTATGATTTTGGAGAAGCTTTATCGAAACAATAAGATTATTATAGAGATTTAAACCATGGAGATTTGGCATCTCAGTCTTTAGTTGCTGATGATATTTGGAAACAGCTTCCCAAAGATATTTTACAAGAAGCTCTTCGAAAAAGAACTAAAATAGCTTAAAAGATTTATGACCTTTTTAGTAGTATCAATAAGGATAGTATCAACTATTTCAAACATGTCTTGGGATGATATAAAATATGTAATCACTAAAATGCTACATATCTCAAAGTGAAATTTACTGCGCCACATTACTGCACCCATGACTATATGTCACACTCATTAGTATATTTTTATATTGTATTTGTTATTCCAGTCAGGGATTATACCAAATTTGGTTATTGATGATCACACCTTATTTAGTAATGATCATTAAATCCAATTATTCTAGATCTTTCGAATTTTCAATTTGTAAAAACGTAGCTTCGAGCTTTTATCATTGATGTTTTCAAGTTAGTGCAGTAATTTACTATTAACTGAGTGCCGCCAA